TGTATGAGTCTATTTCTGGACACTGTTCCACTGTTAAACATTCATCTTGTTTACCAAAGCACATTGTAATGATTTCTATTACCCTTATAGGTCCCAATATGTGAATTGTAAGTCCTCTAGCTTTGTTCTTCAATATTATCTTAGCTCTTCTTAGCAAACTGCATGGCCATATCCACTTTGGAATCATCTTGTGGATATGCACACTAAAAAACTCACTCACACAAACATAAATCCTGCGGGGGGTGAAACAGTACTGAATTAATAGATACATTTTAGGGGATTGACTTATCTAAAATATTGATCTTGCAACCCTCTAATATGATACAGATAGCCATTTTTAGGTTTCTTTATTTTTTCTCAATAATGGTGATATGGTTTGGCTCTGTGTCCCCACCCAAATCTCATTTTGTAGCTCCCATAATTCCCACGTGTTGTGGAAGGACCTGGTGGGAGGTGATTGAGTCATGGGGTTGGTCTTTCCCCATGCTGTTCTAGTGACAGTGAATGGGTCTCATGAGATCTGATGGTTTTGCAAACGGGAGTTTCCCTGCACAAGCTCTCTTTTTTTTGCCTGCTGCCATCCACATAAGATGTGACTCGCTCCTCCTTGCCTTCTGCCATGAGGACTCCCCAGTCACGTGGAACTGTAAGCCCAATAAACCTCTTTCTTTTGTAAATTGCCCAGTCTCAAGTATGTCTTTATCAGCAGCATGAAAACGGGCTAATATAAATGGTTTGTATTTATCAGTACAGAAGTCTTGTATCCCTTTTGTTAAACTTATTTCTTGGCATCGGATATTTATGAATGCTATTTTAAGTAGCATTTTACTGTTAATTTCATTTCTTACTTGTTTGTGGCTGATATGCAAATATACAGTTCATTGAATTTATATTGATATTGGATCCCATCTTTATTAAATTCACTTATTAATTCTAAAAATTTGCCTTTGATTAATTTAGATTTCCTAGCTATATAATCATGTCATTTGAAAATAGTACTTATTCATTTCCATTCTTATGCCTTTTTAATTTTTCTTGCTTGATTGTTCAGGTACAGTATTGGATCGGTCTAACTTTGAATGGAAATGCTATGAGTAGGCATCCTTGTCCTGAAAAGGGAAACACTTTCTGTATTTTACCACTGATCATTTTACTGCAAGTTCTGTTCTGTTTTTTGTTTGATATTCTTTATCAGATTAAGAAGATATACTTCTATCCATATTTGCTGAGAATTTTTATTTAAAATGCTTCTAATGAGTATATTGAAGTAATGATACATGTTATTCCTTTTCCTGTTACTGACATAAATGAATTTTGTTAAAATTTTATAATATGATCAATATATTCACATATATATTTCACATCTATATTCACCTCTATATAAACATATAGATGAAATATATAAACATATATTATCATATATAAACCCATATAGCATATGTATATATAATCATACATAAACACATATATGTGAAATATATACATTACCATCATACATACAGTTGGTAGGTTTCATATATAAATTTATAAAATATATATGAAATTTATTTACATATGAACTAGATCAACTTTATATGTACAATAATGTTATCATCATTAATTATAATAATAATCATATGATTATAATTATATTCATCATTAATGATAATATGTCATTGATAACACTGGGTTCGACTTGTTAATGTAAATCACTGGGTTCAACTTGTTAATAATTCGTTTAAAATTTTTGTTTTTCCAACTGTAATAGATTGCTTAAAATGTTTGCATCACATTCGTAAGAGATGAAGGTACTTACCTTAACATCAGCAGCAATTTTTTAAATATAAAATTTAGGTAGGCTTCATTTAACACAAACTACTTAAGAAATATTTTATACATTTTTATCTGAAAATTTTTGAATGTTTAGTGTTATTTCTTTTACAAATTGTTTTAAAAATTCTCCTATAAAGCCATGTGGGCTTGGAGGCTTCTTTGTTAAAAAATATATTTAATTTTTTAATTATTAAAATTATTCTGATAATCCATTATTTTCTTCATTCAGTTTGGCAAATCTTATTGTGAGGAATTTTTACGTTTTGCTCAAAGTTTTGGTTTTCTAACAAAGTGTATAACCCTATCTCTACAAAAAATGCAAGATTTATCCAGGCGTGGTGGTGAGAGCCTGTAGTCCCAGCCACTCAGGAGGCTGAGGTGGGAGGATCGCCTGAATCCAATTGGTTGATGCTGCCGTGAGCCGTGATCGCACAACTGCATTCCGGCCTGGATGACACAGTGAGATCCCGACTCAAAAAAATAAAATAATATAAAATAAATAAACAAAAAGTATCCAAAATGTACCCAACTAAAACTTCTGGCTTGCAATTTTTAGCGTATAATACTCCACTTTTAACACAAAACTTGGAGACTACAGATAAATAAAGGTACTTGTCTTTATTTTCCCCCACAAATAAAATGAAGACATGGCCATTGTAAATTATAATTAAATGCTGGATGCTTCTAGGATATTTTTAAAAACTTTTCCTCTATGTTGATATTTATCTATGCTGTAACCATAGGGACCTCAATTAAGAAAGTTAAGTGAATTCTGCAGGCCTTGATATTTTTAGCAAGTGAAACGGGTAATCAAATTTCACAGACACACTCACAACCAGCATGACCCCCGGATAGACCCACTGGAATATATTTCAATGAATACAACCTCAAAATATATTACTAGTGGGATAGTAGTATATAGTACTGTGTTTAGTAGAGTACTTCAAGCTTATGGGGAAAGATCCATTTTCGAAAACCTCTTATGTTCATATGTTTTTCATGCTGTTTTGAGTATAGCAGAATAAAATATTAAATGGTTTAAAATTTTTGAATGCACTTTGCAATGTCTACTGATCTTTCACATAGTAAACATGCAATAACTCTTCATTGTTTATGTTCATAAATTTATATTCTTTGTCTCAAGAGGAGACATTTATTAGCCAAGATATTGGACACATGTCAGTCCTACCACCGGCTAAATCTGTGTTTTCATGTGCAATTTACCATATATCTCACTGGCTTTGTCTGGCGTTTAAAAAATTAAAATAAAGAGATAAAGACATATAAATAAGTGTTTTTAGTTACTTTTGGGTAAAACAAAATATAAGGTCATTCCTGTTCACTTATTTGTGTGCTCAAAAATATTTATTTAGCACCTATTATGTTCCAGACCTTAGATTATTTACAGTGTCATAATAACAGCAATGTTATTTGTTACTGTCTCCCCTCTTTACCTCCCAATCCACTCTTTAACTCATTCCTGTCTTCCTTACCCATCACTCCATTGATACTTTCTTGAAAAAGTCTCTGATGATTTGCATGTCTCCCAATTCAGTGGTGATTTTTCTGTTTCAGTCTTGCTCACCTTTTTAGTCTGTTCTTAGCTGAAATTTTTTGAAACACTTTTTTTTGTTTCCTGACACCAGCTCTCTTGGATGTCTTTCTACTCAGTTGACTAATTTCTATTTTTCTTTGCTGCTCTTCCTTTCCATCCAAACCTACCTCTTAAAATCACTGAGGATTTGAACTTGGACTCTGTGTTTACCTCTCCATGCACTCTTCTCCTAGATATTGCATCCATTCTAATATACTTTTCATGTCATTTTTATGCTGACGACTTTCAAATTTATATTGCCCACTCAGACATCTCCTTGGAGAATCACATTTATATACATCCAGCTGCTTACCTGACATTTCACTGATAACTTCCTTCTATGTCTGAATTTAAACATGCTCAGAACAGTGTTCTCCATGTGCTCTGCAAATCTGCTTCTTCCCTGGCTTCTTCTCAGCACCACTGTCCACCCAGCTGTTCAGACCAGAAGCCTGCGTCTCACCTGCATAGGCTGTCAAATAGCACTTAACATAGATTCTCCTTTAAAATAATGTATCTTGATGCTTTCACTGCCATCACAGTGGTTCATTCCCCATCACATCTTGCCCGGCTTTCTGCATCAGGCTTCTTTTCATTCCCGTGCTCCTAGTCGATTGGAAACATATGCAACATGGGAAGCATAATCACAACACCAACACCCATGAACCCAGCACCAAACCTCATATTATTACTAATATTGAAGAATGTAGCTGAGCAACCCTTCCCTAAACTCCTTCTGTAGCCTTCCCCACACAGTAAACACCATTCTCAATTGTCTCCTCTTGTAGCCTTCCCTACACAGTAAATGCCGTCTAAATTATATCCTTTTCTGAATTTTAAGGAGTTGTTTTATGACTAGGTAATATACCTAAACTATATATCAATTTGATTGATTTTGTAGACGTTTTATTGAATTATAACATACATAAGAAAAGGATGTTATAACCATAAGTGTACAGCTCAAAAACATTTCACAAATGAGCACAGCTTTGTGTCTACAACCCAGATCGGTCCGAGAAACAAAGCATCAGTCATGCCTAGAAGCATCTGTGAAGCCCCTTTTCATCATCCGGTCCCCAAGGGGAGCCATTATCTGAACTTCTAGCACCACAGACTACTCTCATTTACTGAGTGTGCACTCTCTGCGCCTTAGTTATGTCATTCAACACTCTGTTTGTGAGATCTCTCCATGTTGTTTCATGTGGTCGCGCACACACTCTCATCGTTACACAAGATTCCATTGTGGGAATATGGCATGCTATACTTCTCCATTCTGGTGTTGGTCATCATTTGATGAGACTCCAGTTCTGGGAACCTGTTTGTACACGCCATTTGGTGACCAGATGCACATGTTTCTCTCGGTGATGTGCCCAGGAGAGGAATTCTGGGATGTGAATTTCTGGAAGATGAATGTTTACCTTTGGTAAATACTACTAATGTGCTTTCCACAGTTCCTGCATCAATCTATACTCCCGTAAGTAGGGTGAGCAAATTCAGTTCTTCTGTATCATCACCAACACTTAATATTTCATTCTCTTGTCCTGTCTCTATTTTTAATCGATTTAGCAAAGGAATGTAAATAATATTGGGTTGTATTTTTTGTGTGTGTTTTCCTAGTGAAAAATTACATTGAAGGAAAGTGGTGGGGCAAGATAATGGACTAGAAGTCTCCACCAATTACCACCTCCCCTCCACAAGGATACCAATTCAAGAACTATTTACTTGAAAAAAGAACCTCTGTAAGAGCTTGAAATCAGGCGAGGACTCACAGGATCTGGTTTTTACTTCGTTTCACTGAACGAGGCACTGAAGAGGTAGGAAAAGCAGTCTTGAGGCACTGATGCCACCACTCCTCCTTACCCTGGAAGCAGCCTCATGGTGCAGAGGGTGTTTCTGTGCCCTGGGAAGAGGGAGAGCCAGCAATTGTGAGGCATAGAGCTCAGTGCTGCCCTTGTTATAGCACAAAGCAAAACTGGGTCAAACTCAACTGACACCCACCCATGGAAAGAGCTTTTAAACCAGCCCTAGCCAGAAGGGAGTCACCACCTCCAGCTGTCAGAACTTGAGTTCCCACAAGCCTCGCCACCATGGGCTAAAGTGCTCTGGGGCTCCAAAGAAAGGTATTGTAGGCCACAAGGACTTCAATACCTAGGTGAGTCCTAGGGCTCAACTGGGCCCAGAGACAGTAGACTACGAGGGCATGCGACCCACAGAGACACCAGCCAGGGTGGCTAAGAAAGTGCTGGCACCCTTCCTCTAACCACAGGCTATACAGCTTGTGGCTCCAAAAGAGACACTTCCTTCCACTTGAGGAGAAGAGAGGGAAGAGTAGGGAGCACTTTGTCTTGCATCTTGGATACCAGCTCAGCCACAGCAGGATAGGGCACCAGTCAGAGTTATGAGGCCCCCTTTCCAGGCCTTAGCACCCCCCCGCCCCCGACATTTTTTCCTAGCCCCCAGACATTTTTTTTTTTTTGAGACGGAGTTTTGCTCTTATTACCCAGGCTGGAGTGCAGTGGTGCGATCTCGGTTTACCTCAACCTCTGCTTCCCGGGTTCAAGCAATTCTCCTGCCTCAGCCTCCCGAGTAGCTAGAATTACAGGCATGCACCACCATGCCTGGCTAATTTTGTATTCTTAGTAGAGACGAGGTTTCTCCATGTTGGTTAGGGCCCCCAGACATTTTTAGATACACGGTGGGCTGGAAGGAAACCAACTGTCTTGAAACGAATGACCCAGTCCTGGAAGGATTCATTACCTGCTAACTAAAGAGCCCTTAAGCCCTAAATAATCAGCAGCAATACCCAGGTACTATGCTGATACTTGCTGGCTTCAGGTGAGACTCAGCACATTCCCAGCCATGATGGCTAAGGGGCAAGACTCCTTTTGCTTGTTAAAAGTGGAGGGAAAAGTAAAGGGGACTGTGTCTTGCACCTTAGGTACTACCTCAGCCACAGTGGGGTAGAGCACAAGGCGAGATTTTGGAGTCCTCGATTCCAGGACTTGGCTCTTGGATGGCCTTTCTGAACCTGCCCTGGGCTGGCATGGGGAGCACTCCCCTGGGGGGTGAGTTCAGGGCCAGACAGCATTCACCCCAAGCAGACTGAAGAGCCCTTGGGCCTTAAGGGAACCTTGGGAGAGTGTGGCAGTGCTCCTTGTGGGTCTGAGGTGGCAGTGGCTCTAGGGTGACACTCCTCTGCCTTTGCAAAGGGGAGGGAAGAGTGGAAAGGATTGTGTCTCGTGATTTGATTGCCAGCGGAGCCACAGGACAATAGAACACAAGGTGGACTTCCAACTTTTTAACTCTAGTCCCTGGCCCCTGGATGGCAACTCTGTATCCACCAAAGGCCTGAAGAAACTTGCCATCATGAAGGGAAGGCCATAGGCCTCCCTGAGTCTGTCACCTGCTGATTGTTGAGCCCCAGGGCTTTGGGCAAACAAAGGTGGTAGCCAGGGAGTGATTACAGCAGGCCTTGGGTGAGACCCGTGCTGTCCTGGCTTCAGGTCTGATGCAGCACCGTCCTCGGGTTGGTGGCCTCAGGGTTCCTTGTGTCACCCCACCCCTAGCTCCAGGAGGCTGAGTGCAGGCAGAGACAGAGACTTTGTTTGTTTGGGCAAAAACAAGAGTGGAAGACAAATGTCTGTGCCCGGGAATCCAGATAATTAGTTCTTCTGAACCTTGTCCGAGACCGTCACAGTGGTACCTCTAAGGGTCTGTAAAAACCACAGGACTACTGGAGTTAGGATTCCCTCCGAGGCAGATATGGCGTAGATCACAACACCCGAGTCTTTTCGAATATTTGGAAAGCCTTTTCAAGAAGGACGATACAAACAAGTCCAGACTTCAAAGGCTACAATTAATACTTAACTCTTCAATGCCCCAATACAGACAAACATCTATGAGTATCAAGACAGACCAGGAAAACATGACCTCACCAAACGAACTAAATAAGGCACCAGGAACCTATCCTGGAGAAACGGAGATATGTGACCTTTGAGAGAATTCAAAAGAGCTGCTATGAGGAAACTGAAATTCAAGATAACACAGAGAAGGAATTCAGAATTGTTTCAGATAAATTTAACAAAAGATTCTAAAATAATTAAAAATAATCAAGCAGAAACTTTAGAGTTGGAAAATGCAACTGAGACTTTTTGGTTTTTGTTTTGTTTTTGTTTTTGTTTTTGAGACAGAATTTCACTCTTGTTGCCTAGGCTGGAGTGCAGTGGCACGATCTTGGCTCATTGTAACCTCCGCCTCTTGGGGTTCAAGCAATTCTCCTGCCTCAGCCTCCTGAGTATCTGGGATTACAGGTGCCTGCCACCATGCCCAGCTAATTTTGTTTGTTTGTTTGTATTTTCAGTAGACACAGCATGTTGGCCATGCTATTTGCTGTTCACAAACTCCTGGCCTCAGGTGATCCACCTGCCCTGGCCTCCCAAAGTTCTGGGATTACAAGTGTGAGCCACCGTGCCCGGCCCATTGGAGACTTTAAGTAGCAAAATTAATCAAGTAGAAGAAAGGGTTAGTAAGCTTGAAGACAGCCTATTTGAAAATACAAAATCAGAGGGAATTAAGAAAATAATAAAAAACAACAAGCACACCTACAAGATCCAGAAAACTGCCTCAAATGGCAAATGTAAGAGTTTTGGCATCAAAGAGGAAGTAGAGAGACAGAAATAGAGAGTTTATTCAACAGGATACTAACAAAGAACTCCTGAAATTTAGAGAAAGGGATCAACATCCAAGTACAAAATCATCATAGAACATCAAGTAGATTTACCCAAGGAATATGACCTCAAGACATTTAATAATCAAACTCCCAAAGGTGAATGGTAAAGAAAGAATCCTAAAAGCAGCAAGAGAAAAGAAACAAACAACATGCAATGGAGCTCCAATACATCTAGCAGCAGACTTTTCAGTGAACACCTTAAAGGCCAGAAGAGAGTGGTATGATAGATCGAAAGGGCAGGAGGAAAAAAACTGTTACCTCAAGGTAGTGTATTTGGTGAAAATGTACTTCAACATGAAGGCAAAATAAAGACTTTCCCAGGCAAACAAAAGCTGAAGGATTTTATCAACACCAGACCTTTCCTACAAGAAATGCTAAAGGGAGTACTTCAATCAGAATGAAAAGGACATTAATGCACAATTAAGAAAACAATCATCTAAAGGTACAAAACTCACTGGTAATACTAAGTACACAGAAAAACAGAATATTATCACACTGTAACTGTGGTATGTAAATTACTCTTACTTAAGTAGAAAAACTAAATGAACAAGTCAAAAATATTAACTACAGCAACTTTTTAAGACGTAGGTAGCACAATAAGAGAAATAGCAACAACAAACTGCTAAAAAAAGGGGGGGAAATTAAGGCATAGAGTCTTTATCAGTTTTCTTATTGCTTATTTGTTTGTTTATGCAAACAGTGCTATGTTGTTATCAGTTTAAAATAATGGGTTATAGGATAGTATGTGCAAGCCTCATGGTATCCTCAAACAAACAAACAAAAAACATGCAAAGGATAGACAAAAGATAAAAAGCAAGAAAGTAAATTATATCATTAGAGAAAATCACCTTTACTAAAAAGAAGACAGGAAGGAAAGGAAGAGAAGACCACAAAACAATCAGAAAACAAATAACAAAATCATAGGAGTAAGTCCTTACTTATCAATAATAATATTGAATGTAAATGGACTAAACTCTCCAATGAAAATCATAAACTGGCTGAATGGATGGAAACAAAGGACCATTAACCTATTGCCTACAAGAAACACACTTCACCTATAAAGACACACATAGAATGAAAATAAAAGGATGTAAAAAGATATTCCATACCAACAGAAACCAAAAAACAGCAGGAGTAGCTATACATACATGAGACAAAATAGAGTAGATTTCAAGAGAAAAACTATGAGAAGAAACAAAGAAAGTCACTATGTAATGATAAAGGGGTGAATTCAGCAAGACAATAAAACAATTTTAAATATATATGCACCCAACACTGGAGTAGCCAGATATATAAGCCAATATTGTTGGGGCTCAAGAAAGATATAGACTCCAATACAATAATAGCTCGAGACTTCAACACTCCACTTTCAGCATTGAACAGATCTTTCAGACAGAAAATCAACAAAGAAATATCAGACTTAATCTGCACTATAGACCAATGGATCTAATGAGACCACTAAAGAGGAAATAGATCTAAGAAACATCAGACTTCATCTGTACTATAGACCAAATGGATCTAATGAGACCACTATAGACCAAATGGATCTAATGAGACCACTATAGACCAAATGGATCGAAGAAACATCAAACTTCCACACTGTAGATGAAATGGATCTAGATGTTACAGAACATTTCATCCAATGGCCACAGGATACACATTTTTTTCCTCAGCGCATGAATCATTCTCAAGGATACAGCATATGTTAGGTAACAAAATTAGTCTTAAAACACTCAAAAAGATTGAAATAATGTCAAGCATCCTCTCTGACCACAATGGAATAGAACTAGAATTAAACAACCAGAGGAATTTTAGGAACTATGAAAATTCATAGAGGCATAGTTTCTTTCATGATATGATTATTACACATTGCATGCCTATATCAAAATATCTCAAATAACCCATAAATATGTACACCTACTATGTACCCACAAAGTGTTTTTTAAGTTAAAAAACTTACCTTGAAAACCTTTAGAAATATTTATTGGCTATTTTTGCCAAAGCAGCTAGTCAAGTATTTTGCTTTTTATTTGAATTATTTGTCTTGTTCTTGTTGATTTTTCTTATTGATTTTTTTGAAATTCTTTTTATGTTCTGGATAGAACTTTTCTGTCAAGACATAAATCATATGTATGTATGTGTATGTACATATTTACAATGTGATGATCAGAAGCTCTTCTATTCCAATTAACCAATTTGTCTTTTATAATTGGCGTTTGTAAATTTGTCTATTTTTCTTTATTTCACCTTTTTTGTATTAAATTATCTATTTTGTATATATGTGTGTACTATATATATGTGTAAAATATGCACACATACATACACATATACATACATACACACACACACACAAAATCCAGCTTTACCCAAGATATTGTCTTAGTTAAGTTGCCATCACATGGTGTCATATGCTGGGTGGCTTACAAGCAACAGCAGTTTCTTTCTTACAGTTCTGGAGGCTGAGAAGTCCAAGATCAAAGAACCAGCAGACTCAGGGTCTGGTGAGGGTCCTCCTCCAGGTTGCAGGCTATCCTCTTCTCCCTGCGTCCTCACAGGGTGAAAGGGGAAAGGGGTTTCCCTGGGGACTCTTTAATAAGAGCACTAAATCCATTCATGAGGACTCTGCCTTCATGACCTACATACCCTGCAGAGGCTCCATTTCCTAACGCTGTAACACTGGGGGTTTGATTTTCAACATACACATTTTGTGGGGACAAAAAAACTAGTCCATAGCAGATACAATTTATATCATGCAATGTATTCATTTAAAACATGCAATTTCATTTATTTCTTTCAAATACACAGAGTTGCACAACCATCACCACAGTTAATTTTAAGTCACTCCTCACTCCCCTCAGTGTCGCCAGCCTTAGTCTGCCACTGATGCTTTTTTGTGTGTGACTGGCTTCTTTGATTCTATGTGATGTTTAAAATACATCTACTAAACAATATTCCATGTGGAATCAAGTGCATATACGACATTTTATCTATCTATGAAACAATGTATTGACACTTGAATTGTTTCTATTCATTTGTTTTTACAAACACAGTTTATATGGACATTCATGTACAGACTTTTGTGTAAAAATGTGTTTTCATTTCTCTTAGGTATGTCCCAAGGAGTTCAATAGCAGGGTCATATGGCATCTCTGTGTTTAACCTTCTGTAGAACGGCCAAGTTGTTTACAAGGTGGCTGCACCTTTCTACATTCCTTCCAATAATGGGTGAGGGTTCTGATTTCTCTGTATTTTTGTCAACCTTTGTTATCATAGTTTTGATACTAGCCATCCTAGTGGATGTGAAGCTTTATTTCATTACGGTTTTGATTTGCACTTCCTGATGACTAATGATGTTGAGCATGTTTTCTTGTATTTCTTGGCTATTTGTATATCTTATTTGGGGAATGTTTATTCATATGTATTTTCCCATTTTTAATTGTCTTATTTTATTTCTATTACTTTTTATACAATTGACCCTTGAACAATATGGTTTAAACTGTATGGCTTCACTTATACATGAATTTTCTTCTACCTCTGCAACCCCTGAGACAGCAAGACCAACCTGTCCCCTTACTCCTCCTCCTCAGCCTACTCAGCGTGAAGATGAGGGAGATGAACGCCTTTATGAAGATCCAATTCCACTTGATAAATAATATTCTCTCTTAATAAGTTCAACTTAATAAATAATAAATAATATTCTCTCAGGAATTTCTAAACATTTTCTTTTCTCTAGGTTACTTTATTGTGAAAATACAGTACATAATGTATAACATATAAAATAGTGTTAATTGACTCTATCAGTAAGGCTGTCAGTCAACAGTAGGATATTAATAGTTAAGTTTTTGGGGAGTCAAAGATTTTATGCAGATTTTTGACTGTGTAGGGGCATTGTTAAAGGGTTAATTATGTTAGTCCCTAAGATATGGTTTCCTAATATTTTCTTTCCTTCTGTGGTTGTCTCTTATTTTCTTAATGGATTCTTCAAAGCACACAAATTTTTAATATTGAAGAAGTCTGTTTCATCATTTTCTTTCTTTGTTTGTTTGCATTTTTAGTGTCATATCTAAGAAACTGTAGTCTATTTCAGGATCTCAAAGAAAGGCACTGGTTTTCTTCTAAGAGTTTTATAGTTTTAGCTCTTATAGTCAGGGCTTTGATACACTTTTAGTTAACTTTTTATATATAGTTTGAGGTGAATATGCAATTATTCCAGCATCAGTGGTTGAGAAGACTGTTCCCTCCCCTATTTAATTGTTGTGGCACTGTTGTCAAAAACGAATTGACAATTAATGTGAAGATTTACTTATGGGCGCTGAGTTGGATTCTATTAATCTGTGTGTCTCTCCTTACACCAGTGCCGACTGCCAGTGCCATGCTTTTGTGATTACTGCAGCTGTGTAGGAAGCTTTGACATTGGGAAGCCCGCGTCCTTCAGCTCTGTTCTTCTGTTTTAAGATGGTTTTGACTATTCTGGATCCCTTGAATTCCATATTAATTTTTGTCTTGTCAGTTTCTGCAAAACTAATGGCTGGGATCATAACGAATATTGTGTTGAATCTTTAGATCAATTTGGGAAATATCATCTCAATAATATTAAATCTTCATATCTTAGTTCAAATGATATATTTTTATTTATTTAAATCTTGTTAAAATTTTTCAACAATATTTTATGGTTTTCAGAGTAAAGCTTTACATTTATTTTGTTAAATTAATTTTGATTTGATTAATTTCGTTTTGTCAAATCGTTTTATTCATGTTGATGCTTTTGCAAATGGAATGGTTTTTTATTTAATTTTTGGGCTTTTCATTACTAGGGCAAAAAATACGATTGATTTTGGATGTTGATGTTCACAAAATTCTTTATTAGCTCTAATAGTTTTCAGAAGTTTCCTCAGGATTTTACATACATAAGATGATGTTGTCTACAAATAAAGGTAGTTTTACTCCTTTCTTTCCAATCTAGATGCTTTCTATTTCTCTATCCTGCCTAACTGCCCTGGCCAGAACCTCCAGCACCATGGTAAATGGAGCGGCTGAAAGCGGAAATCACTGAGTTGTTCCTGATGTTAGGGGAAAGCGTTTAATTTTTTCACAGCACAATCTGATGTGTGCTGTGGGGTTTCCATGGCTGCCCCCTTCACCAAGTTAAGTTTTCTTCTACTCTTAGTTTTACAGGTTTTTTAAAGTTATTATTAAGGGGTAGTAGATTTTGTCATTTGTTTTATTCTTCATCTATTGAGATAATACCATATTTTTGTTATTTATTCTATTAACATGATGAATTACATCATTAGATTTTCACATGGTTAAAACAATCTTTTATTCTTGGGATAAATCCCACTTGCCCATTGCATATAATCCTTTTTTAAATGTTTCTAGATTTAGTTTTCTATTATTCTGTTGATGATTTTTGCATCTATAGTGTAGATAGGATTTGTTTTTATTCTATAATTGATGCAAAGGGAGACTTCCGGAAGTTCAGCACATTTCCAAGCTCATGCAGGTAGAAAATGAAGGAGCAAGATTCAAGCCTGAGATTAGTTGCAATGACGACTTTCAGTTTAGGTGACATATTTAGCTACTAAAACTAGGAATTCCAGATTAGAAGAAGAACGCTGTTTATTATTGTGACCTCATGAGGATTTAGTAGTCCCCCAAAGAAAGACCATTTTCTCAACTGCCTTCCTTAAAAAAGAAAAAAGTCAGATTGTTTAAAAAACAAAAAAGCTCTAAATGCTAAAAATATCAATCAAGCCTTCTGCCTAGCTCTCCATAGGTGAAAATGACAAAGCTATATAAGAAAATAAATTAAATAATTATCTGTACCATAATAAAGAGGGATCTACCCCATAGTCTTATAGAGAATTCTTTTTGGAGTTTTTCAGGTTTAATTTCAGATTCCCAGTGGACAATTAACAATTTGAGATGTGCAAGTTACATAGGCATGTCACTCAGGACCGATAGATGTTTAAGTCTTGCAAATAAAATAAATGTTTCTACATTTTAAAAAGGACACTTTGATTTCATGAATTATCATATATCTGTTACCTTTAGGTTTACAAATAGTGCCAATGTACAGCATGGTGACTGTAGTTAGTAATACTGTATTATGTATTGAAATTTGCTAAGAAAGTAGATTTTATGTGTTTCTTACTCCACACACAGACACACCCACAAAATGGTAACTGTGTGAGGTGATAAACATGTTGACTAGCTTGATTGTGTAATCATTTCACAATGTATACATATAGCAACACCCCACTTGTACATCTTCAATATATGTGATTTTTAATTTGTCATTTATGCCTTAATAAAGCTGGGGGAAAAAACAGTGCCGTGGAGCCACATATCAAAATATCTTTCTTTCTTATCTATTGAGTATCAAGCTAGTATGTGAAGAGTGGATGGAATACGTTATAGCATTACTGATATTCGGCTTTAATTAAAACTTCTTGATAAAACTTCTGTTTGGCATTATTTCAGTTAGCCAAGCCACTTTTCTATTTCTCTTAAATTCCCTCAGCATCTGGTACAATGCTGGGTATATGTTAATCTGATTAAAATTAAAGAATGAATATAAAATTACTTCTATAACTTATAAAATACCATACAAATATGAGATGTCAATAATTAAGAATATAGTGATAAGAATGCAGTAAATATGTATTAAATTTAATGGCATTATAGTTCTAGATTATCTTATAATCAAAGTCATGTTAGTACACACAATATAATATAAAATTGGGTTCTTAATCATCTTTTGAAGATCATGATGAAGTCTAAACAAGACATTTAAATGTCCGTTGATCTAGAAATACCAGGTAACAGGTAAAAGCACAAGTAGAATGTATTTTTATTTATTTATTTATTTATTGAGGCAAGGTTTATCTGTGTTACCCAAGCTGCAGTGTGATTATGGCTCAGGGCACCTTGACCTCACTTGATCAACAAGTAATGTTCCCACCTTAGCCTCCTCAGTAGCTAGAACTCTAGACACATGCCACCATGCCTGGCTAATTTTTTTGGTTTTTATTTTTTGTTGAGATGGGGTCCCACTACGTTGCCCAGGCTGGTCTCAAACTCCTGTGCTCAAGCAGTCCTCCCACTTTGGTCTCCCAGATTTCTGTGATTACAAGCCATGAGCCACTGCATGTAGACATAATTGATATAGAATATTAGCGACAGTGAAGACTCATATCGTCAGTGAGACTTTTTATGTAGTTGTTCTGAGGAGAAACACTATGCTCTATGAGCCCTATTCAGAACAAGTTTGAAATGAAGTGTGAAATTAACAAAAAACACTACTCAGGTTGAGTGTAGAGAGTAATACAAGCACCTCATAGACTTAAGGACATTAAAGTTCGAGTTGCTCAGGGAAACAAAGTAAGTGGTGGTGATTGAACCACTTGAAATGTTCCTTCCTTTGTGCAAACAATGGTGGATTGCCAATTTTCCTGATTTGCTAATATACAGTTGCTAAGTGTACTATTTCCTTTGGAAAAGAAGATGGTGTACCTTCTGTGGCAAATAAAAAGTTATTTTATTAGTTTGATGTTTTTACTGCAAGCAAATACAAACCCCAACACAAAGCAACTTAAACATTATTTTCACAAATCCAGAGGTAGGATAGTTATGTCAATGTTCCAACCATATCATTAGAACCTGGGTTTCCACATGTCTACTTGGCCTTCCCCAGGCACCGGCCTCCCACTGAGTTTACCTGTCTTCTTTATTGGAAACACCCATCAGGCCATCTGATTGGCCAGGATTGTGTCAGCTGCTCCAGCCTAAACCCATCACTACCAAGGGGACTGAGAACTCTCATGAGTGCCTTAACTGGAGGAGGTAGAGACATGCTTAGCGACATCAGGGCTCTGCTCGCAGGAAAGAAGGGGAAGGATGTCGGGCAGACATCTGCAGTAATGTTACGGTTCTCTGCTTAAACGAATGTCTTTTTCTTTTCTCCCAAACGATAAATAGTGATGTAATATTTTCAATGTGTTTTCTTCTTACCTGTAAGTTTAACTTTGATTTAGGATTTTTCTGACCCTTGGAGATAAGGATGACAGAAGCCTTGGGGAGAATAATGGCGGCACCATAACGAACTGGAGCTTTGTAATCAGAGTAATTTCATCTCTGGATTCGATTCTCAGTTAACGTGTGTGACTGCTATCTAAACTCCTCTTTCCACACGTCCCCCCTGGGGCCTTTTCTGATTGCAGCAGTTGTTTTTCGTATTATGCCTGCATTAAACATGAAATTTCAGCTGCCGGAATTGAGCTTGCCTTTTTCTGACAAGATTGCAAACAGCTTAGCTGCAGCCATTAGGATCAACATAAACAGTCTCGTGAAATGGGTAAATGAGTTCATGTGCGCAGGGCGGAAACCTCTTCAAATAAGGAGGCCACTACAAGAGGAGAAGTTAGTAGAGTGCCATCACTGTATACAAGAAAGGATGCAAGAAGTATGCCTGGGTCTTGTTCAGAGAGACTGGAACATGTCCATCGAAACACCAGTCATATCGTTGGGCTGACATTATTCCCCACCCCATTCTCAAGGGTTAGGACTGGCTTAGATGGAGCAATGAGGATGGGAAATAGTTTTGGTGACCCCATCAGTGAGGTCTTCTTGATCCTCGCTCAAATCTGTCTCAATACGACGTCACAGCTGCAAAGACTCAAATTTGACTTCCAAACACTTGAAAAGTAATACGCCTTAAGTAGTGAATTGGCAGAAAAAATAACACTGACTAACATGAAAGACTTCATTCAGATCCTCTTTGGAAAGCCCTGTCTTGTTCCGGTCTGTGTGATAGCTGCTCCAATCTCACTCTGCTGGCAAGCAGTTAAAACCTGTAAGGACCTAGCCCACCACCTGCTGTTTGCTGAAAGCTCACCATCTCCTCACTCTCTCCCCACTTGCCCCTGCAATTCTCCAGTCTGGGTTTCTCAACATGAGTGCTGCTGACACGTGTCACCAGAGAATTCTTCATTGTCAGGGGCTGTCTTCATTGTAGAAGGGTAATGAGCTTCTATGGCCTTTACCCACTACACACAAATAACATTTACCAAAAGTGCAGGCAAAATGCAGACCCAAAAAGTCCAGGGTATATTGCCAAATTCTCTGAAATTGCCAAATTCTCAGAATCCTCTGGTGACACGTGTCAGCAGCACTCATGTTGAGAAACCCAGACTGGAGAATTGCAGGGGCAAGTGGGGAGAGAGTGAGGAGATGGTGAACTTTCAGCAAACAGCAGGTGGTGGGCTAGGTCCTTATAGGCTTTAATTGCTTGCCAGCAGAGTGAGATTGGAGTAGCTGCCACACAGACTGGTACAAGATAGGGGTTTCCAAAGAGGATCTGAGGACAAATCACCCCTGATTAAGAACCACAGCTGTAAGTAGTCTGTGCCTTCTTCGGGTTTCTGGATCTATCCTTTTCTGTAACCTCTCCCATTTATTTTTCCATCTCCCACATCCTCCAAGCAAAACAAACAAAAATAAATAATCAGAACACATCCTATTTAGAAGGTCATCAATTAAAGGTTATTTTTCTCCTTTTCCATGTAGAGTCAAATGGAAATCAAGACAAGAATTCCAGTGTGAATACCAGGGGAGCAGTATGTTTGGATTTCCAAAACAAGGGGCCAGAAGAAGAATATCAGGTGCAAAGCAGGAGATAAGGAGTCCAGGAAAGTAGAAAAGTGGAAGCAGAGAGCAAGATGGAATGAAACAGAAGATTCAGGTATAAGATCTGAAGCAACAAATGAATTGTGCCAGCTGCTGATTCTTTGTGAATGCTCCCCACAAGAAGTAGGGGCGCTGGGTCATTCTGGAGGGAACTAGGGTGGGACAGAAAGCAGAGAAGACCGAGAATAAAGGTTATGTGGGCAAGGCTACAGGAGAAGCAGCGGGAGGAAGAACAGACGGGCTGGACTAAAAACGGAATTAGGTAAACCACATTGGACACCATCCTAAGGCAACGTTTCAGGTGTGGTCAAAAACATACAAAAGTACACTAATAAATTTTTATACTTTGTCAACGTGTTACACTTAGGAAGTGTAACATTAAGAAAAAACCTTTTACTAATTCAATTTTAGAGAAAGAAACTTATACTCATGGGAGGAGGAAAATGTCTAGCTTCAGTTGGAAACAGCAAAGAACTTAAAAACATTAAAAATAAAATCAAAGAATATCACAAGTCAATAAATGGCTTACAGCAACAACAGAGAAAGAGGAGTATGAGGAGTATGGTTCTAAGGGAAATGGTGGTCACCAGCTGGCTTGGTGTGTCGGTGGCCTAGAGGACTAGGGAGGCGTCGGCTGAGCACCTGTGCTATATCAGGTTCTTGCTCAGCACATCGCATTGGATAGCTCACTCAACACCCACAAAAGCCCCAGGAAAGATTATCTGCCCCATGTTACAGACGAGGAAACTGATGACTCCTACTTGACTGAGGGGTTGCAATATCAAGCAGCAGAACCAAGATGCAAATCTTCATCCCATTCTTCAAAGGAACACTCTATCCTTAACCACACTTTTTCCTTTCAGGAGGTTTTGTTGTTTACAAATATACCTGTATTTATTTTTCTGTATTTGTTTATTTATTTTGAGACAGGATCTCACTCTATTGTCCAGGCCTCAATTTCCAGGGCTCAAGTGATCCACCTCAGCCTCCTGAGTAGCTGGGACTGCCAGCATGCACCACCATGCCCAACTAATTTTTGTATTTTTAGTAGAGTTGGGGTTTCCCCATATTACCCAGGCTGGCCTCGAACTCCTGGCCTCAAGTGATGCTCTCACCTTGGCCTCCCCAAATGCTGGGATTACAGATGTGAGCCACTGCACTCAGCCTCTCTGTATTTATCTATTGCATAAAACTCTTCTCTTTTGGGATGACAGAGAAGAAGTATTGATTAATCACACTATTTTGAACTTCAGTTTAATATACTTCTGTAAAAAGTAGACAACTCCTAAGTACACAATTCAAGAAATAATATCCAAGTTATTACACACACTAAACTACCACCAAGGTCAAGAAATAGAACATTATTAGTACACCAAAATCTCCCATATTGTCTTATTTCCCATCTCCTAGAAAGTACCCACTATTCTAACTTCTAAAATCATAGATGATATTTCTTTTAAAAAATTTTAAGTATATATAGAATGATACAGCATCAATTATTTTCTTTTGGTTTGGCTTCATTTGCTAAAAATTTTGTTTGTAAGATTTATCCATGATCCTACGTATATTCACCAGACAGTCCTCTGTTGTGTCAGCATGCCACAATTTATGTGTCTGCTCGATTTTGGAAGGACATTTCATAAAATGAGTTGGGGCTTAATACATTCAGTCCTCCTATGAGCATTCTATGTTTTTCCTTTTATAAATCCACTTGCCCATTTCTGTTGGGAAGTAAAATTGCTGAATATGTACATGCACAGTTTAAAGTAGAGATTGCTAATTTTCAAAGAGTTTTCAAACTACACCAATGTAATGGTAGTTTATTTTATTTGTTGTACAGTTTTTTATCATATAATATTCCATGGATATATTAGGTTGGTGCAAAAGCAATTGCGTTTTTTGCCATTACCTAGTATCTATGAATTCTACTTTTCATGTTTTTTGTGCCCATGTACAATCATTTTATACAAACACACACACGCACATACACAAATTTAATAGATCACACCAACAGTATTCTAGAATAGCTGTACAACCCTGTGTATGAGAGTGTTCAATTGTCCCTTACAAACTTTCTTGGAGACAATTTATTTTCAATCCATTGTCACAGATCTTCAACAATTGTCTTAGATGCAGCCTACTGTTGTGGTTACCATGATAGACTTTGGGCCTAGAGTACTTGAGTTGAATTCAAGTTTTGCCACTTACCATAGGATCCAGCAATCTCACGATGGAGTTTATATCCCCCAAAAATGAAACCAGTATGCAAATAAATACTGAATACCAAATACTAAATACTATAGTATTGCAGCACTATTCACAATTGTCAACATATGGAATCAACTGACGTGCCCGTGAGTGGATGAGTGAATAAAGAAAATGTAGCACAGAAGAGAATGAAATCCTGTCCTTCACAACAGCATGATGAGCCTGGAGGACATTATGTAGAGTGAAATAAGCCAGGACCAGAAAGATAAACACTGTATGTTCTCACTCATATGTGGAATCACTTAGTTTTTTTAGCACTTCCCTCTGTCTCTCCATATGAAAAATGGAAATGATGATAACAAAAATACCTTATAGAATTACTAAATCAACAAATGAATTAATACCTGTAAGACATTTAGAATACTACTTGGCATATTATAAATTGTATGTTAAATATGAAGTTAAATGTTCTATTTTTCTGATATGTGTCTCTATATAAATATAGTGGACATTATAAAGATGCATAATAAATGCTTACTTAATATGATTATACTGCTTTCTTAATTTATCAAGTTCAGTCATTATCTACAAAATGTATTTTATAATAGATAAAGATGTAGCAGTTTTACATCCCACGTATCTCTGCCAGCATGGTTATGTCATAATCTTTGTTTAAATTAATAAATATTAATTACATCATGTATTTGTTTTTCTAGGGATATTTGCTGTAGCAAAGTACCACAAACTGCATGGCTTCAAGCAACAGAAATGTATTAACTCATAATTCTGGGGGCTACAGTTCCAAAATCAAGTCATCAGCAGGGCGGTGCTCTGTCTAAGATCTCTTACACACTGCTTGATTACTGGCAATCCTTGGCATTTCTTGGCTTGCAGTTATGTAACTCCAATCACTGCGTTCTTCATCACATGGTGTTCTCTCTGTGTCTCTCTTTCCACTCGTTTTGTAAAGACACCCATCACATTGGATTAGGGCCCATCCTCATGACCTTATCTTCACATGATTATAGCTCTAAAGACCCTGTTTCCAAATACAGTCACATTCTGATGTATTTTCAAGGTTAGGATTTTAACATATCTTTTGTGAGGACATAATTCAATTCATGACACGGTATTATGTAAATAGTGTTCATGGCAATAGCAGTAGAAATCTTTGCCTATATCACTCTACATATTTTTAAAAATCGTTTTTCCAGTGATCCATCAGATATGCAGTACTTTTAATCACTTTACTCCAAATAATCCATTGTAGCAAATAATCGGTCACTTCATGTCCTGAATACTTCCTTTCCAGAGCTTTGTATTCTTTTCCAATTTTTACTTTTTTTTTTGTCTAGACCTACTATATAGCTGTCATACAGAAACTTAGTTCACAATTCTTTTGTGTTAGAGTTAATGTTTCCTGTTTTCTATATCTTGCTCTTTCATAACTTACTTTCACCTTTCATTGAAATGTATTCTTCCTTATATTACTAAGAAACAAGACATGATGGTCAAATTTTCTGAATCCTTAAATTTTTAAAAATTCTCCTATTATTCTATTTCCATAGTCATTGTATAGCTTAGCTAGGTATAAAATTGCAAATATTTTTTCTTCAAAATTTGAAGGTAAGGCTTTGTTTATTATCTAGCATAATATATCTTCCTTAAAAAGGCCAATGTCTTTCTAATTCTTGATCTCTTGGATGGAATTGAATGCTTTCCTCTCTGTCTTTATGGTAGTCTTAAAAGTTAATCCTCTTATACTGTTCCCATTCATAGACATAGGTATTTAATATATATGTAATTGACTTTCTATATTCCTAATTTTAATGTTTTTTCTTGTCTCCTGATTGTTCTATTTTCATAACATACTGCTCTTATTTTATAGATACAATGTCTTTTCTTAGTATTCTAAACTTTATAACCTTAAAAATTTTCTTTTCCTTAATGCATTATCTCTGTTCTCTTCATACCCACTCATTGCACTTGTCTTAACTGCATTTTTTGTGTGTGTGTGTTGAAAACTGATTGCAAGTGTAAAGAGATATCTGACTGTTTAGATTTGCACATAGTATAGTGACAAGCTGATTAGGAGCTCTGAATATGTGGGTAAGACTTATTCATTGCTTAGCATCATTGCAGATTGATCAGCCTGCAAGGCAAGCATTTACTTTTAGGACTCTGAATGTACTTGGGTAAAATCGGGACTATTTAGTTTCTCCAGAGAATAATTATCTAATCTCTTGTTTGGATATTATGACTGGGGGTATATGTTCTAGGAGCTGAATTGTTAATTCTTTTAGGGGCTGTCTTTAAAATCATATTTAAAAGACCACTATTTTCTCAGCCCCACATTTTACTTTCTTTTTCTATAAAATAAACCTACATTCAATTTTCTAGCTGTGTGCATGGGGATTACATGGAGGCTGATTAGTATTATTCTGAATACACACAGTCAGGAAAATGTGGCATCTCCATTCACAGATGCGCAGTTGGTGCACCTGCTTCCATCTCTACACATCATCTCCTCACTTCACTGATACCGACACCAACAATTTCTGAGATTTTTCACATGATTTGCTTGGCAAATCAGTTTTCTCCTCTTTGATATCAGCCTATACAGATATTTTATTTGTAGCTTCATCCTCCCTCCTTAAAAAATGTGACTTCTCCATCCATATTTTGTATCATTTTGGTTGCTATAGATTTAAGTATTTTTTTTAAATTCCCCACTATTATAGAAAGAAAATACGTAAATATATGTGGTCAATCTGTCGTCATTGACCAGAAGACAATTTAGGGTTTTAATCTTGATGTTCCTCAAGAATTTTCTGTAAATGATTTAACACAACTGGAATGTGTTTTAGTGAATGGTGTGAGAGAAGCACTTACGTATTGTTCAATAACTCCAATATTTTACCAGCAGCAATTATTGAATAACACTTACTCAATAACAATTATTGAATACTTTTCCAAAGATATGTGAGGCTTCTCTTGAGTTCTTAAAATATATGTTGAGTTCTGTTACAGAGCTTTCCCTGTTTCCTTTTTAATAGCATTGTTTTCTTTGATATTAAAATTATACTTATTCATTTTAGAAAGTTTGCAAAATATATAAAACTACAACATGAATATACAAACTACCATCTCCCCCTGCACTGTTTATCTCTTCAAGTATTATAAAGCATATGTGCATAATTTAAGCTTAAAATAGGAGCTTGTTTATGGTATTAGGCAACCTTCTCCAGTCACTTAACATTGTATAGTGAACAGTTTCTTATTGCATTAACTTTTTGTAGTATGATTTGTAATTTGCTTAACAGTATTTAATCGTATAGATATATCAAAATTTATTTCTTTATATAGTTTGCCAGCACTGGATATTATGCAAACTTTAAGCTTTCTATTTCCAGTTCTAAAACCATTCCTCCTCTTAGCTTGTGGTTCTTGGATACTTGTGAAATAACTTTTTTCCCTCTCTGTTTACTAGGAAAGAAAAACAATATATTGTTGGTTTTTTCTTTCTAAGATCTAAAGTCTTTCTAACTAACTGACCACTACATTCTATGTCAGAAATACTGATTTGATTTCGGAGCTGTATACAATTTCTACCAGCATCTTTTAAGCAGCTGTTACTATGGGTCCCCTTGCTATTTGTAGAACCTGAGCCACAATCTCTGGCCTTTGGAATGGCTGTTTTCTCCACCAGCACACTG